CTTGGGGGCACCTGTAATCCACTTAACACTATATAATCTATCTAACTATCGGTTAGTTTTGATAGGTCCGCTCATATCTGGATTGAAGTCTGCCACTTATAGGGGCCTGTTGGGTTGGTTTGAGAAATTAGATTGGGTTTCCGAGTCTTGCCCAGTGCAGTACCATGTAGCCTTGGCTTCCTATGGGACCGTGTTTTCCCCAACATATTTATGAGAAGTGTCAAACTATGAAATTTTATGAGAATTAATAAAAAATTTATTTATCATGATTTTAGATAATTTTTAGAAATTTTATTTCAAGGGAAAAACGTTTTGTAAAAATTGTTATGTGATAATTTCAATTAGGGACGTACATACATGTGGCGTGTGGCATAGAAATAATCAATATGTGCCATACGTGTATCCCATAAAACTGCCATATCATTGCTCAATGAACATGGCATGAAAAGCCTAATCCTAAATGTGAGACCCTTGTTTGGTTGTGGCATATAAATTGGATAAGTATAAATTGCTTTATGGCAATGTGAGGCACATGTGTGGTGACATATGTGTGTTCACATGTAAGAGTGTAGTGATTCTATAATTTTCATTAAATTTGACACAGATCTCTAGAAAAGTCAAATCCCACACTTGTGTGATAACTTTTCTAGAGATCTGTGCCATATTTAGTGGTAATCATTTGAGGTCCTACACACATGGGTGTGGGAGGGTCTCATAGAATCATTACTCTTTTCAAAATCATACCATAATTATTAAATTCAAATGAATAGAAATCTTATTTTCTTTATTGAATTCATTAAATGAAGCTATGGACGATGGTCACTCAGCAAATCTCTGAATTATTAGGATCTTTATGGTCCTTTTGCAGCCCTAGTCACCAAGAGAGTTTGAGGTGGGAGGTCCTCATATCATCATGGACCGTATAGGTCCGTGATAACAGCTCTTCAAGCAAAAAAAAAAGAAAAGAAAAACATGACTGAATGGGTGTAGATATAGATTTTAACAAATTTGAGTACCTATAAATTTATAAAAAAAAATGGGGATATTTTTATAATTACCCTATCTCATTCTACTCGGATTCCAATTATTCACTTATTCAACAATATTGTTTCTCTCTCCTATTATCCAGGTAATTCCCTTCAAATTTCAAAAGACCTCCAATTAATCCCTTTAACTTTTATTGTCTTTTTAGGTCTCCAATACAAGGATCCAGCATGCTATGGGGTGGTTGTATTTGGTTTTCTCACTAGGGAAAACATCTTCCTTGGTTTAATAGAGACACTAGAAAATACATACATAGATAAACCTCCCAAACATTTTAAGAAATAAAGCAACATTTATTAATTAAGAAAATTTATTTTCAGAAATTCTTATTTTTTTCTCTTTTTATTGATAATGTCTTTATCATATAATTGTTGACTTTGTAGAAGATGTATGGAAAGAATAAATGAGTGATATGGTAGTTGGCAAAGCACTAGCTACTGAGAAAGTTATGGGTGTCTAGGACTCTAGACAAGAGAGAAGGCGACAAATAAAATCAGAAGATCAATAGAGTGATTCTTGATCCCTTCACTAACTTCATTGATCATGATTCTTCTTGTCAATTGTCTATTGACTTTGTTGCACCCGATGACTCTCCTTCCAACCTTAGGAGGACATTCTGGGGGAAAGTGATTACAGTCACTGTGTCTTTAACTGATCCCGAACTTAATATGCCTCATCTTGATTTTGCATCTCCTGACAGTGTTCCGCAATTTCTTCTTATTGAATGTCACTGCCCAGTAATATTTTCAAGACTTTCAATACTTCCTTACCACTATTCTTTCTCTTCATGAGCCCCAAGTCCTATAGTATTTAATCCATGCTGGTGCAAGCTATAATAGATGAACTAAATGCCTTATGCAAATGCTTACCTGGGATCTTTTCATTTTATTCCAGGAAAACCTTCAATTGGCTATTAGTAGGTTAAAAAAATTAAGTCCAACTCAAATCGAACAATTGAACAATACAAAGCATGGCTAGTTGTAAAAGGGGTTCACCTAAATGTTTAGGCCCGTGCTTGTATAGGTCAAATAGTGACATGTGTGATACATTTGGATTTTTCTCATCTATTTAATAATTGATGAAACACCACCACCCCCCCCCCCCCCCCTAGCGCCCCCCCAAAAAAAAAAAAAAGTAAGAAAGAAAGAAAAAAAAGACAAACAATTGAAAGAAATTGATAAGAAAGCCCTTGATTAAAAGGAAATTATTATTTAAGAAGTTGAAACTCCTTACAAAATCATTAATTACAACGTCTAAAAGAGCAACATGCAATTTTTTTTTTAATTCTTGAGATTAATTACAACATGCAATTTTTTTTTAATTTTTTTTCTTGGGATTAATTACAAGGTCTAAAAGAGCAAGATGCAATTTTAAAATGTTTGATGATGTATTAGCGGGATATTTCAGTATTTGCAAAACCAAAATTTTCCTTTCTCTTTAGGGGAAATTATCATTTAAGAAGTTGAAACTCCTTACAAAATCATTAAAGGCTCAAATAATTTTAATTATCTATTAAAATATTACTTTTTCATTAGAATTCCATTTTTTAATCTTAAAAAACTAAAAATATTTCAAATTGCACTTGTTCAATATTTGAAAGGATGATTTATCAGGAGAATTTCAGTAATTTGACCCTCAAGACACTCCAAACAAATGATAAACTTTATTAGCATTAAAAATAAGGAATACAATGTTCAGGTTCCTAGCAGAAACAATTTGGGGGATTTATGTCGCTCGATATATGTAAGGTATTTGGAGCCGAATAAACCAAATATCCCAAGTTGTTGATCATTGCTAACGTGGGCACTATGTTTCTTGTTTGTATCCCTTAACAAACATAGATATTTCTGTCATTTGATTTGGGACTTATGGGCGGTCAAATTATTAAAATAGCCCCATTTTCATCCTTTCTAACGGTGAACAAGAAGAATTTGGGGATATTATTTTTTCTTGAGAAATAACCTCAATAAATGAAAATAGAAAAGTAACATCTCAAATGTTAATTAAGATTACTTGACCCCTTTTAATGATTTTGGTCAACCTCTAAAATGATATTCTCTTTTTTAATTTATTATTATAGGCCAATTTTTTTAATGGCTTTCGACCATAATCCAAGGATTAGAAAGCATAGGACAATTTATGCTCGAACCATATTTAAATATGCTAATTATGTGGAGGTCCAAAGTTTATCAATACATGTCCACTAGTTCGATTTTTACAACATTTTTTTGCTCTTTTTTTGTTTTTTCAAATTTTCCCCTCTGTCCAAATATTGGATTGCATTTTTAATTTATTTTTTAATTTTTTGAAGTGTAGGGACCTCCGAGGTTCCACACCTTAGATTGCTTGGCTTACATGAACATTGTGGAAGCCAAGTGGTCCGAGGTTTGGAATCTCGGACATGTCCATAGATTGTGAAATTCACAATCCAAATACCATTCCAAGATTTTGAACCTTGGACCACTTGGCCAAAGCGGTCCAAGGTCTGGAACCTCCGACTTATCCCTACATTGAAATTCACAATTCAGTGACCACGTGTCTTCCACAATCTTCACAGAAGCAAAGAATCTGAGGGATCCACACCTTGGATCAGCCCCTACAATTCAAAAAATTAAAAGAAATTAAATAAAGAAGCAATCCAATGTAGGGAAAAATTGGAAAAAAAATAAATTGACCTCCACATAAAATTCGCAAAAATTTAGACCTCCCATAATTCCCTATCCTACCCACAGTAAAACCTAATTTTACCTTTGTTTAAACCTATGGATGAGCTTAGCCACCATTCAAATGTAGTAATAAAGGAAATCTAAGTTGTGATTTACCATATGGTTACTATATGACAAAAGGTAGATTAAAAAGGACTATGTTAACTCCATCTCTCACCTCCTAAACTTTCACTGTTTGGATTGCATTGGTGGGAGGGCGAGGGCTAGGGCTTCCTTGAGAGAGCATAAAAGTTTGAGAGAGGTTCATTATAGACCGGCCTCTATGAAAAAGCATCAGCATTTTGCATGTTACTCCGTACCTGACTAGTGCCATACACTAGCAACATCGCTCAACCGCACGTCTTTGTTGCGGTAAACCTAAATGATTTTCTATTCGCTCAGGAGTATACTATCTATTTACTCCCACGGACAAAATACATTTTTAGGATAATAAAATTTGGAGATGTAGCCTCTACAGCCTACAAATTGATCACAGTAAAAGAATTTTTGATATAAACTTCCTATGTATTAAAAAAACTAATGCTTGTAAATTGAATTTAGGCTGTTCAATTTTTTAATGCAATATTGGTTTACTCTCGATCGACGTAAATTCATTGCCGAACCACGTATATGTTATGTTGATCTATTTATCTCTCTTTCTTTTATGACAACTTCAACAATTCTTACGTGGTTTACAAATGTTTAGCATTTCATGTGTTTCAAGTGAGGGAGTAGTTGCACAATATGCTCCCGCATAAGCATAGTTTACGCACTGTGCTCTTAATAAAAGGACACGCAAAGAGATAAACAAGTACCACATATGAGAATAGAGTGAGTGAGAGATGAACAATAAGAGAGATAGAAGTGGAAAGGACATGTAATGGCGCCAAAACAACACGTGAAGTTGGAGTTAATCCCATATCAAGAGAAGTCATCAAGACAAAGAGGAAAAATGATCGGTGAAGGTGGAGGGCTTAGAGAGAGAGAGACAGAGAAAGAGAGGACATGCAAATGTAGAAGGACCTGGAAATGTAAGATCTATGTCCAATGTGGAAGGATTGTGGGCAGAGAGAGAGAGAGAGAGAGATCAAGGGCACTCTAATCTATGACCACACCAGACAAGACCAACGGATGATCAAGATGCTTCACAGGAGTACATTTTGGAGTGATCCAGGCCGTCCATCAAGAAGGTGCAAGGACCTCTAGTTAGGGCTTTTTTTTATAGAGCCATTAGCCCATCACCATGGCTAGTCCCCTCCCAACTAGGTAGCCAACACCATCTCTCTCTCTCTCTTCTCTCCTCTCTCTCAACGATTGTCACGAGGACCAATGCCCTAATTGGGTCCAAAGCAAAGCCGATCAGAAACCTTGACAATGAGAAGACAAGAACCCCACCTCTCCTCCTCTTCTCTCACTCCTCTTATATTGCAGTGCAACTGCAGTCCCAATTTTGAAAGCTTTCGTAATCATCTGAAAAAACCATCCAACTCCATGCCCTCTGTGTTCTTTTCTGCTCTTCTTCAGTACCATGTAACTCTACTGATTCTCTCCCTCTCTCTCTCTTTGTCCACCATCCAAAGTAATAAGAAAAATGCAGAGAACTTGATTAAAGTTGTCTTTTTGATGTTCTTTCAGGAGGCCGGAGAAGAACCCATTAGACCTCAACAATTTGCCTGAAGATTATCCTGGTGATCGATGGCGCGAGGGCACGCATACTGCTGAGGAGACTGATCCCAGTAAGAAAGAGTGAGTGCATTTTCCAAGTGGGTGTTCTCCTTTTCTTTATCTCTCTTATGTTTTTGTGTTGCAGAGGATAGAAAGAGAAAGTGTGGAGCAGATGAAGGGAAGGAAGTTTGTGGTAAGGTCTATGAATGCAGATTCTGCTCTCTCAAGTTCTGCAAGTCTCAAGCTCTTGGCGGACACATGAACCGCCATCGCCAAGGTAAAATTGAATACATTGCACAATTCTTTTGCACTGAAATTTTCATCAGCTTCTTCTTATTTTGATTTGATTCCCAAAGTTCTACTGTTATGTTATCTGTTTATTCCATTCTAGAGAGGGAAACCGAAACCTTGAATCGTGCTCGTCAGCTGGTTTACAACAATGAGAATATTGCGGCTCTTAATCTAGGGTATGTAGCAACCATTGATAGTGTCCTTCAGCTTTTTGCTATTTTACATTGTTATATTGGGCAAAAAAACAGGAAATTATTTGTAAAGCTCTATTGTTATTCAAAACAGTTCTTCTACTTTCTCAAGATTGAGCTTATGGTTATTTTGCCATAAAATGAGAACGAAAGAGGGAAATACCACCTTAATAATTTATTCTTTATTTTTATCATTCATGGATATGCCATTTATTGAATCCCATTCTGTAATTCTAAATGAAAAAATGGAGAAAACCATCAATTTTACCACTGTAGAACCTGAGGAAAAAAAAAAAAACAGAAGAAATTTTGTCTAGAAAAACGGTGACTTAAAATAAGAGAAGAAATATCTGCACTTTTGATGAAGATCTTTTTTTTAAAAAAATTAATATTTAAGAAAACCAATCAACTTATGGGGCCTATTACTTTTTTTATGTCAATGGTTATTAAGGAATAAAAATACTGGAATATAAGAGGGATCCTTTTTACGTAAATTCAGTGAAGATGCCAAGCCCTTACCCGTTTTTTAAATAGTTAATAGTTTTTTAATGCATTGGGTGAGAATAGAAACCTATATGTTAAATTGGACAAATATAGTGCTACCACCGCGGCTCCAGCACCATTCTCCTGAGTGATTTCTTCACCATATAATTCATACTCGAGAGGGATTTCTTCACCGTAAAATTCATAGATCGAGTGATTCATGGTTGTGAGAATAGGCAACAATAATGCCCTTGCACTCTGAGGAAATTGCAGAAATAGTCATGGTTTCCTCTGATAAGCTGTATGTTCCAGAAATACTTGTACGTAAAAGATGAAAATACGTTACTTATCTGAACTAAGCGATTCTCGTATCTTTACTATTTTGGTGATAGTTTTTAATTTCATTTGACATCTTTGAATTAATTCATCTTTATTTTCTCAACTACAGAGAAACAATAGAGAGAGAGAATCAAACATTTTGATTATTCTTTAGTTTGGGAATCATTAGTAACAAAGAGCCTAGAGAGAGGGAGTCAAACATTTTGCACTGATTCTTTTCTCCAGTGGTTCTCTGCAAATTCAGAATAGAGGAGAAAATGAAAATATAATCTTTAAAGCATTTCAAGTGTGAATAGATACATGAGGAGAAACCTAAAAGGAAAAAACTTCCATAGTTCATTTCTTGCATTCACAACAATACATTTACAGCTTCCAAATGTCCACTCTCTTAGTGAATGAACTAGCAATTTTTTAAAAAGAAAACCACAAAATAATTTACCCTATTTCTTAATGTTTTTTCTTTTTTTTTTTTTTTCCATTTTTTCAGGCTGAGAGACCAGACCCATGGTGCGATGCAGTCCATGGCCGGAAACTTCCACCAAAGAAGCGGGGAGCCACCTTCTCTCTCTTTCAACCCGATGCTAAACAGGCACCTTCCCGCCTCTGCTCCCACCTTCTCCCCTCCTCCACTACCTCCTCTCTCTCACCACATATACCCACTTTCATCTCCGCAGCGTTTTCTCTCAATGACACCATCTCCATTTCCACCACCTCCGCCATCTTCCATGAATGACTATCTTATTGGCCATGTTCTTGCTGGAAATCAACACCACTTGCACCGCCATAACTTGCACCACCACCATGTCGTTCCAAGGAGTAGTACAGGGTCTCCTCCAAATGAAACAACTTTCGCCGTCGGTTCTTCTGCATCTTCCTCTTCCCATAATTGGGGTTACTCAGATGATCAAGCTCCAACACATCAGTTCCCACATGATTTTTGATAACACTATGCCCCCTGTCAGCAGGAGAGAGAGAGACTCAAAGTTCTAGTTGTCAAACGTTTTGGGGAGGAAAGAGAGAATGAAGCTTCGTGTTCGGTATCGTTTTGGAGAGAGAAAGAGTCAATTTTCTTTCTGGTTATATGATAGAGAGAAAGTTAGAGCGAGAGAGCTAGTCAAAGTAAGCTGGTTTTTTAGAGAGAGATAGAAATCTGGCAGTAGCTATGCAAGAACTCAAAAGGAAGAAGAAAGAGAAAAGCAATCTTTTAGATTTTTCTTGTCTTTCTTGATTTCTCTTTTATCTGTTCTTTCTTTATATTTTTTTTTATACTTCTTGTTTGCAGAAGTGCAGCTTTTGATCTGAGTTATGGAGTGTAATAGCAAAGTGGATATGGAGAGTTAGGAAGGGGACTCCCCTTTCACACTGGTTTTTGGATCTTGTACGTTGGTTTTGGGTTCATGCGTGTTAAAAACCCTAAGATTCAGATGGGTCGTTATCTCGCCAGGTTCACGATCCGGCAGTGTTCTCCATTTTCTTATATCACAAGCCATATACTTGTGTTTCTTTCTTCCCCTTCCATCGATGAGCTCTCTAACATTGTTTCTTTCTCTCTCTTGTTTTTTTCTGTCGAAACATCATCATCATCATCCTCTCTCTCTAGATTTAGAGGGAGAATATATGTCATGGGTGTACCATCGTCCTTCCTCTCTCTCTTTCTCTCTACAGAGAGTTTCTCTCTGTAGATGTAGAGAGAGAAAGAATATATGTTCCCGTGTCATGTTCCAGTCTGCTCCCCTTTTCTTCTGCAAGCCGACATTCTTTCTCTCTCTAACCGTGATACTACAGCGATTCCTACTCTATAATTAGCAAATTCTTGGTGATAGCAGAACATGACACATAAAAAACTGCTCCTTTTTTATCCCTTTCGCCCCCATCCATGATAATAAGACGACCCCCCTGGTCTGGTTGCCAACACCAGTTTTCGCGAACTCGGCCCGTTCAACTCTAACCAAGCACGGCTGACCCGATTTTTAGTTGGTTTAGTTGGTATGGCTGGGTATTTTTTTTTAAAAAATGGAAACTTCCAGAAAATAAGGAATTTGTTTGTAACGTGCTTTTGAATGTTTTTATCATTTTGACAAAGATTGCAAAGTGTTTTGGCAGTGAATACTTATTTTTATATTTTTTTATTTTTTTATAAAATTAAAAAAATATTCTTAAGCACAGATTGATTTTTCAAATCTATTTTTTTTTTTTTAGTAATTTTCAATTTTATTTGGATATGCTTTCTTTAATCATATTTTAAATATAACTTTTATATTTTTTTGAATTTTTTTTTACTCTTTTTAACTCTGTTTTGACAAGCCATGACCTGCCCGGTTACATCAGTTGAACCGGTCGCTTTACCGATTACTTGGACCCGACCCTTGGCCGATTTCCGAAATTGGCTCGATTTTTCGAACACTGGGCAACGCCATACTTCAAAACAAAGATGAAAGAACATATATAGATGAAATAGTGGTTCGAAACCCGACTAGTAAGACTCGGGCCTACTAGAGTTATTCGGCCCTAGCAAGCCAGTCACGTTAGGATAGAATAACCTACTTTATGTCAATGTTAGAAAAATCGGACGATATAACCGGTAACCCCCCAGTTAGATTGGAACCGGTCCTTGTTTCGAGCGGTTTTGATGATCAAATGTCATTAAAATAAATAAATAAATAAGAATGTATAAAATTCCCAAAATAAAGAATTTGGTTTTGTAATACATTTTTTAATATTCTTTAGATTATGGTAAAGATTAAAAATTGTTTTGGTCATTAATACTCACTTTTATGTTTTCTCATATTTTTCAAATTTTTTTCAAAAATAACCTCTAGGCACAAATTGATTCTTTAAAATCCATTTTTTTCATTAAATTTTAACTTCATTTGAATAGATTTTGTTTTAATCATTTTTTATTTATTTTTCATATTTTAATAGATTTTTTTGTATCGTTTTTATTTTTTCAACAATTTTTTGACTGCCCGAGATGTGACTGATTAGAATGGTTGAATCGGCCAGTTTACCAGTTAAGCTGATTAAACCGTTTTCGAACCTATGTCCGGTTAACCGTTCCGGTTCGATTTTACCAACACTTCTTTATGTGGAACAAGAATGTCTAATATCGAGATATCATTAGGATCATGTACTTAACTTATTGGAAACGAAATGGGCAACTACGAACTATATTATCAGCAAGAAAAATAAAGTATAAAAGTATATATTACAAATATATGTGCCAAAAGGATATAAAGATTTATATGGTTCATCCTAAAGGGGCTACATCAAAAGATGTACCAAACTAAAATTCACTATAGTCATGTGCGTTACATAACAGATTTGAACCATATATTTACCTTTCTCGCCCTCGAGAAGCCCAATCAAGTAACCTTTAGATCAACTCTCGTAACCAACATCACATGTTGATCTCACATCTCTATTTCATAGCTAAATCATTGTACATGAATAAAACCTTGAGTGCAATCAAAAATTTCTCAAACTAAAAGGAAATATCACTTAAAATCTCTATGAAAACGGTTTCACTATAAGAATTAACCTATCACTCTACAGAACGAACCATCGGAGCATTTTTCTCTCAAGGGAGCTCACTACTCTCGATGTAGAAATCTTATCTCTCTATGTTGTCCCTACGTCTTTGTGCAGAAGGTCATGCGTCTCTCTCTCTAAAGGAAGTTCACCTTTTTCATAAGATGCCTGAGGGAACAAGATTCGTATCCTCATTCCTTATATGCTCCCTGAGGTAAAACCCAATATAGAAGTAATTTTAGAATCCCAATTGTGGGATGTAACCTATTCAACCCATAGACTAACTTTTTTTTAAATAACTTTTTGCATTGAACTCTCTATGTACAAAAAAGAAAAGAAAGGAGTAGTAACCTGAGATTGAACAAAGTCCGTCCAATTTGTGAAGAGAGAGGTTAAGTGTCAAGAAACTCAATTTAGATTTTTTCCTTTGAATTTAATCATCTAGTAATGTTTAGGTGGTTTCAGATTGAAAAAATCTCCCCAAATAGGCCTTTTGATTCAGGAAGTAGATGTACAAAATACTGTATAGGA